ATTTCAAACACAATAAGATCAACCACAAAACTTGGCCATTAGGTTCCACACTGCACCTAAGCATGAGCCCATGAATGATTAGTTTAGAAAACTTCCAATGGAATAACATTAACTTGAACAAGACTTCATGTTCCCTATGATCTTTGCACCAAAATAAAAATTGAAGACCCAATTTTTGATGAATTCTATGATCCAAATAAATCCCTAAACTAGTTGATCAAAATGAAGAATTTTTTTTAACTAGTATATTATGTATGATTATTAACAAATAAATTTTGCTAAGATAATGCATATTTGTTGACCTCATTTGTATAAGAGGTTGACTAAGAAAAATTCAAATCTAAAATAAAAATCAAAATACAAGACTTCAAACCAAAAATCAAGGCCAAAATCTCTTGTCCTGTAACTTATTTTAGGATATTTTTCAATCACATCAAAATCAAATTAAATGACTTCGAAATTATGATTTTTCAATTGCATATTGATTAGACATGTCGTTAAGGTCAACCCTCCAATTTTAAGAGCAATTCAAGCTCTGTAATCCCAAAAACTAAATTGAATTCTATATGTTATAAAATCTTTAAATATTTACAACCTATATCACTAGACTATGCATCTTGTTCAAATTGACTTTGGGAACCTCTCCAAAACCTTTGAACATGCTCATGATCATTGTTATGACATGTTAAACATAAAAAAAAACTTTTGATGGACCTGGTTGACCATGGGCCCACTTAACCCCAAAGCTCCTAAAGGGACAATCAAACATTCTCATAAATCTCAGTATGACTCATTTAAAACAATCTTTGGAAACTCTTCCAATGCCTTCCAAACAGCATTTGGGATGTGTTAAAACTAAACCTAAGTCTTGGTCAAGTTTGGTTGACTAAAGTGCTCTTTAACTACTCAAACAGGCATTATCAGATATTTTAAATGCATTCATAAGCCATACAACTAAAAATATACTATTTCAAAAGATAACTAAATTACAAGAAATTGTTCAGAACATTACTTGAATTTAGCATGTGTAAAGTAATCCAAAATTTTCTCTAATGAAATTATAAATAAAATAAAAAATTCAATAAAATTTCTTATTTTTTTAAAAATTAAGATATGCAAAATATAGCCTACCTTAAGCCGAACAATTTTCAAAATTGGGCTAAAAGTTGAAAATGGATTGGAGTCACCAAAAAATGATTCTCTTTTTAGGATTTCTCTCTCTCTCTCTCTCTCTCTCTCTCTCTCTCTCTCTCTCCTCTAGTTGGTAGCTTCTTAGGGAAGGGAATGGAAATGATTTTGTAAAAAATGATATTTTTAATATAAAATTTCAGCCTAAGGTTGCAGCGCCCAATCGTGGATGCCACAACGCTCCCTCTGGGAGCCCACAATGTTGCGGTAGGGGTGTCAATTCGGGTCAGCTGGTCTGGTTCGAGTCGAACCCGACACTGACCCGGCACTGTTCGGGTCAACCCGAACCCGACCCGTTTTTAAAAACGGGCCAGGTTTCCGGATCCGAACCCGATCGGATTCGGGTTCGGGTCAACCCGACCCGACACGAATGACCCGAAGTTGACCTAAATATGCTAATTTTCGGGTCAAAATCGTGTCAATATTCAATTTTCGGGACAAAATCGGGTCAAAAATGGGTCAATGTCGGGTTTTCGGGTCAAATATGAGTTTTTGTGTCACTTTCGGGTCAAATTCGGGTTGCTGGGTCAACCCGAACCTGACCCGATTTTTAAAACGGGTTGATTTGTTCAACCCGAACCCGGATTTTTCCGGGTCAGGTTCGGGTCGTGTCAAAAATTGACACCTCTATGTTGCGGCGCCACCAGCATCATGAATTAATTTATAAAACTCCAGAGAGCTCAGTGATGTGGTGCCCTATGAGTGAAAAATTTTAGATTTAACAAATAAGCACATGTACCCTTGGGACCCGCTCTAGAGCATATTCATGCATTCACATACATACAAATATTCCCAAGTACATACAAATATAGTTCGAATACATGATTAAATAAATTACCTCTTTCATATGGGATCAATATGATTCTAAATAGATGATTTACTGCATTAAATAAATTACTGTATGAAAAATAACTTTATTTTTTTCAGAGGATAAAGGATTTGAAATTAAATATAATTTTTTTTGGCATATATTAAGTGCATTTGATAATTTAGAATAGTAAAACACATGATAAAAACCATTCTGATTAAGGCTTCTAAGTGCAATTAGATAATTGATTTTAATTAAATTATCTAACAAATTGAGGAATTCAATTATAAAATAGCTTGTTGTTGATCATAATCAATGATATGGTTTTAGCTTAGAGTTATCTAAAATGGTGAATATTGTTGAATTTGAAAATAGCTGATTTCCAGCGAAAAATTTAAATTCTGGCGTAAAAATTCATTTCCACCATAATATTAATTTAATTATATTTTATCTTTCAAAAATATTAATATGTATTTTGAATTGATTATTAATTTTAATATTCAATGAATTATAATTTAAATAAAAAGTAGCAATTATAATAGCTCTTGCTCTGCGGCCCTGCGGCCATGTGGATATATGGCTAGATTTTCCTTCGAAGGAGTGGGGTTCGAACCTTATACATGCGTCGGCATTCCAGCTTGCACGAGCAGCTTGTTGGAGGGCGTCGGATTTTTTTGGCGGTGTTTGTTTTCCTATGCGTGTTTTACCAGCAAAAAATTTTTCATCATAAATTCGTCAGAAATGTGTTATTACAAATTTACAATAGAAATTTGTCGATTTCCGACAGAAAAGGCAGTTAGAAATCAACCATTTTCTATGGTGCATTAACCTTACTTGTAAAATTGTTTATAAAATAGCAAAGAAATTGAGAGAACTTAGTAATAAAATACTTGAATCACACCATATGATCTAATGAAAGTATTTTATAAAATAAAAGATACAACATCTATGTCTTTTATGAAGAATATATGTGAATTTAAGACTTCCTATTTCTAAGGGACTAATAACTCCCTGGTCCTGTACATAGTTAATTCTATAACTCTCATTCCTCAATTTCAAGATAAAAGTAAGGGGTCAAAAAGCGAGCATAATTTACAAATTCTCTCTCTCTCTCTATCTAATACTCTCAATAAAATTTAGATATTATTCACAATTAATTTTGAATACAACAATATGCATAAAGTTAAAAGGCTCAAATCCAATTAATTCATGAAAAATCTCTCCAAACTAGTAATATTATGCCATTAAAGAAAAA